CCAGCTCCACAGTCCACATGCCGCACTCCATCTGATCTCGACAGGCACAAAGCCGCCGACCGAGTCCTTGCTTGACTGCCTGCAGGGCTAGAGACGGCCCACATTGTGGTAGACCTTTCACGTCGTAGTCCCCACCGACAAGCATAGCAAAGAGCACAAGTCCTTCTCGGTCTAGGCCATATCTCTCTTTCAGATCGTGTGCTCGCACAACGCTCGCGTATTTCCCATTCTTCTTGGTGTTCTCCTTGGACCTGTCTGTCGTGCCCTTTTCTTTTGCGACACGGTGATCGCGTAGCCAGAGGGTGCAGCCAAACATGAGACAGTCAGAATCTTGCGACCAAACAGCGTCAACCATGCCCAGAATCTGCAGACGAGCGCATTCTGCCTCTGCTTCCCCCGGGGCCTCGTGGTATGGGATCCCAAAGTATTGAAGCATCTCCTTGAGCAAGCGCTGCTCCTCGTAGTTTATCCGTGCTCCACCTCGCTTTCCCCGCTTCCAAGGTCGACCGGGGCCATCGAAGACGAATATGAGCTGAATGTTTAGGGTAAGGAGGCGGCAGATACGGTAGAACATAGCTTTCTCGATGCCTTGGTAGGCGTACTCGTTGGAGGCTGGTCCTATTAGCAAAAGCAAAAGCAGAGACGACGCGTGTACTACTGACTCTCCCGTATCGTGTAGACTTGCTGCACCGTGAGGTTGTTGAAGCGCCAATCGGCCTCGTCGACAGCAATGCGGAGTGACCTGCCATGACGCCGGTGATGCTCTTCGGCGAGTTGCGCGACGGGTACGCTTTCTTCGTGCTTCTTAATCGTGTCCCACAATCTGTCCAGGCGTCAGTACGAGCTCCAATCCCAATTGGTCTGGAGGCTTACGCTGGAAGGCCCATGACGTGGGTGTGGGGAAGATGGGAGGTCGGCTAGCCGACCGTTGCACGCGTCTTAGCGCGATTGGCGTGATTTGGGAGAAGGCTGGGGTGTCGGCGCCCAACAAGATGGTGAACGGATCTGCTATATTGCGAGGCTTAGGTACCTAGGCATACATGGTTTGCTGGTTTAGACGACGGTGAAAGGGTGTGGCGCGGTCGACCGTCGCCAATCTCCTTATCGCTCCTTCCAAAGTTCCATTGCGCGACGCGAGAACACGTGATTTGCCTTTTCAGTCTAAGCGCCATTTGGGCATCCTCTAAGGCTCGATCCATCTCAGTACTCACTCTTTCACTTCATCTTGTCAAATTGCGCATCATGGTCACGAGAATAGTACATTGTGGCTGGCTTATAGTTCACAGTCCACCTCGAACGCCCCTTCCAAATCATGCCACAGCTCACTCTCCAAAAAGACGCTCATGTCGCTAACCCGATCTTGCGCACTTTTGCGTCGCAGCTTCAACGCCTCTCCCAAGATATTCGCCGCCGAGAGGGCCATATCCGATTTTCTACCCAAAAACCATAACGCCTTAATACAAGCATCCGCGCGTTGAAAAGCATCCTCTCGATCCAGGTCTGACGGCAGCAGAGTATCTGACTCAAGCAACAGTACGCCTGCCTTGGCGAACGCGCGAATCAACACTACAGTCCATGGCTCCGTCAGCAGTGCGCCTTCGTTGACTGCGAAATGGAACTCGGACTGTGCGAATGATGCGTCTTCTCGCGGGCATGCACAGCTCGCTAGGTCTGATAGGACCCGGCATTGGTTCTCGCGGAATTTCGCGATGAAGGCACTAATATTCCGTTGATGTGTGGCTTCCTCAAGTCCAAGCTCTGATTCGTCTACCACTTCCATCAAGTCCGCAAGAAGGAGAGTCGCAAGGTGCCAGTGTCCGGTGACGCATACGTACCATGATTGGACGCGTGGTGGAAGGCGGTCGTGGTTCTGTATGCAGTCTCGGACGAAGGGCGCATACAGCGCATCCCAGTGGTTACACACGTCCATTGCGGCACTGACAGCCTCTTCGACCTTCGCGCCTCGTGCATTTCTTGTGAGAAGCGTCTGGATCCGACAGACTCTTCTGAACAGCAACACCTTGACCGGGGCTGCGTCACACAACGCAGCTGCGGCTTCATCGAATGAGCATGGCCATCTTGTGGGCGCATGTTCTGGATTCTGCTGTTGCCGAGAGAACAAGTAGTCGTCCCACAGTCCATCGTCTGTTGAGGAAGGTGTTGCCGCTTGTTGGGCCGAGTGCTCAATCTGCATGCTTTCGCTCATGACTACATCACTATCTTCATCCGATACCACCAGTGGTCGCTTGTGCATGGCTGCTGATAGCGTGTCGAACATGACACCGACCCAGAACAGAAGGTCCACTGTCGCACGATCGGCGTCTTCAAGACGCACAACGGGCGAGCGTCGTTGCCGTGCAGAGCGCCCTGGTCCGGGGTTGCTGTATCGCGCTTCTCTCGACATGGTCATGCGCGACCTCAAGGAGTGAATGAGTCGAAGGCCTGATTCAAGATGTACAGGAGGTCCGTCGGACTCAATAGCGAGATCCAACTTCGACATCAGATCTGCACACTCATCGACGTCCTGATCGGTCGAAAGCATAGGGGTCTGTTCCATCGGGACTTCCGTGCAGGCGTCGGTCGCCAGTAGTTCGGTCTTCGAAAGAGCGTTCTGCTCATCCTGAGCCCCGTCTGCCTCCACAGGCCGTTGTGTCAGGGCGAAAATGATCTGTGCAAGTACCACCCGGAAGGACTCCACTTCACCGGCTTTTTGCAGTGCATTGCGGGCCTCATGCCACGCTGATATCTGCAGGGTACGATCAAAGTTCACGCCAGCCGGTGCGCATTCGTCCTCGATACTATCAAAGACGCTACTGCCACCATCGGCCGAGGTGCTGTGGAACGGGTACTTCGTTCTGCTTCTGGGACTGGACTGTGCCCATTGTGAAGCGAAGGAAAAGACCGCTAAGTCTAGAGCTCTAGATGCTGCGCGGTCTTCCGTTTGAGTAAGCTTGCGCCCTCTGATGGCTGAAGCTAGCCTATCGAGGCGCACCACTCTGTGATAGATTCGATTCCAATCAGGCTTAGCGTTTGTGGCTAGCAGGTTATCCGATTTTGCACTGTAGGGACAGGTTCTTTCTGTGACCCAGCATGCAAGTGCGTTTTCGAAACTATCATGATAGATCCTCAGCAGGCTTTCAGTCAGATACGCATTGTTGCTTGATGAAAGAAGATCGCTGGCATATGATATCACTGGGTAAGGTTGCGCACCGTTTGAGATTGATGCTGAGGAGCTAGAGCGTCGCCGTTTGAGACTAGTACGAGCGATCGTTCCATCCGATATGGTAGAAGGCGGATTACTTGGACTTATGCTGCTGGTGTCCTGACTCTCAGAGGGGCTGTCGCGTTCGAGCTTATCATCGCTGATCTCCGATGTTGTCTTCAGAGACGAGCCTCTGCCAGAGTCGCAACCGAGTATAGTCCAGCTTTCTTCGGCAAGCCCTCCAGCGAGTTCTGGTTCATCTCCGGTCCCTTCTTTCTCGAATACTTGCGATGGTTCTTCAAAGAATGCGATTGTAGGATCGGTGGTGAACATGGATGAGCCACACGGAAAATCTGCAAACGTCACGCCCAGTTCCACGGGCGTGGTATGGGACAGAAGGCCATCGCCGTGCGGATGCCGGTCTTCTTTCAGTTTCACGGTTGCGCTGGATTGGCACGATAGGTTTGGCTTCTGTGCTCGGCTGGTCGAATTGCTTCTTGTGCGGCGCCTTTTCGCTGGCGGTGAAGTTGTCGACACTGGTTGCGCAGCTTGCGATACGCGTTGTGAGCGCAGCCATTCGAATGTGCAGCTCTTTTTTGTCTTCTCACAATTACCGCACGATGCTAGCGGCCCATAAACGTCTGACAGGTTAGCTTGCGCGTTAGGTACCATCGACGAAGGCATGACTTACCACTATAATGGAACACCGTAGGGGTTGCTCCAGATTTGCTCGTTTCTAAAAGAGTGTCTTCTAGAATTGCGGCGTCGCACGCTCTTTTCCCTTTTCGACATTGGTCGCAGCATCTGTTCTGTTTCCGACTCGTTTTGGACGGTTTGGTGGCTGCCATCGCCCCCGAAGATGGCGACGTCCAGGCATAATCGAGGAACGACTTTGGTTGCACGTCCACGAAGTTCATGGCTGCTGCTCGGATTGTCAGTCGAAAAGAGGGAAAAGCACGAGAGGTCTGCTTATGCAAAGAGGCAAGTGCGTTGCTGATATGCACACCCCGCGTCGCCGGCTAGGACCCACATCCCAACACAGAAATGCGGGGAAAGCTAACGCGTGGCAGGGCACAACGATGCTCAACGCAAGCTTCAGTCCGGCTCATCACTGACGATTATGGATGCTGCACGGCCGTTTCTGTCGATCGAAGCTATTCTATCATATGTTCCTTGTCTTGAGATGCCTGTTTCTCCCCAAAGGAAGCACTGCCTCTTCCATTGTAACGGCATCCAGACAGCTCACGGGACAGCTTGTACCGGACGCTCGGTCTCACCTAGGCACTATTCTCTGAGCCTGCAGCCATCCTTGTTATAATTGGTCCCTCGAATGGCGATCGGACTGTTCCGAAACTTTCGAGGCAGGCTACTTACGGAGAACGAGCATCGGATCGGCCCACACAGGCAGCCACGGACGGGTTTCAACGTCTCAGCCAGCACGAAAGACCACTCGAATCGCAGTTCAAACGACAAGTTCTTTACATGTTCATGCGCCATATCCGTTCACGGCTTATCTCTCGCCCATATGCAACCCTGTATGGCACACATGACGCTAAAAAGATGTGGGGGTGTGATGTGCACTACACTCATAGCACAACTCAAGGTTTCTCGACCCAACATTACGGTTTTGACGTTTCTCAAAGAGTGCACCAAGAGAGCAAGGAGATCGGCTGGTCCTCAGGGTGCAATTTGACGCGAGGTTCGATATGAAGACAATGACGATCACGTCCATCCGGCCGAATCCGACAAAACAAAACGGACCGACTGCATAAGCAGAGTCACCCAACATGACATACGATCAAGCCCCCAAGGCTTTGTAGATCTGCGTCTCAACGTCGAACCACAATCCAAGCACTTTGGGATCGCCAAACGGCAGGATCTGACTGCAAACGATCCCGCCGACTCCCTTCTCTCTGTCACACCACCACCAGCAGTTCGGGAGCCCAGCCCAGAACCCAGTACTCTTGGACCGACCAGTCGGGCCTCCGTTGGACAGCATGAACGTCAGACCCCAGCCTTGAGGAGGCTTACCCTCCACTGGGTATATGTCTGGAATAGCGTTTGTGAGGTCAGGCTTGGCCGCTGGGATTCCCTGACGACCAAAGTCGGGGAACTGTGATATCTGATTCGTGAACATGAGGTCTACCGTCTCTTTCTTGAGGAGTTGGACGCCGGTCTTGGCCGACTTGCCGTCGTTGAGGAGCGTTGCGATTATTTCTTAAACTCTGTCAGTGGTGTCGTATACATATTGCTTTATGGGCAACTTACGCGCATAGTCGGATGGTGTTGCGAAAGCACCTGCGCCTCCGCTGTTCAGGATGCCGCCAATCTCGTTGCTCGAAGCTTTCAAGGGCTTGAGGAGTAGATGGTCTCGCTCGACCAAGCTGCCATCTTGGTTTCGTTGATGCATGGACGCCAGCCGCTTCTTCATATCCTCGTTGGGGAACATGGTTATGTTCTTCAACCCTAGCGGTTCGTAGATGTTCTTCAGGCAGTAGTCGTTTAGCGACATGCCAGTCTTGCGTTCGAGAGCCAAACCAGCGAAGTCGATGTTTACGCCGTACTGCCAGCCCTCGCCCGGTTGGAAAGTCAGCGGCTGAAGTATGTCCTTGACGTCCCCGGAGAACTCATCAAACCCGTCCAATACGGCACACAGAGATTCGTTGAAGAACGTGTAGCCAAAGCCAGCTGTGGGTCATGATTAGTGAAAGGATTCAACTTTGCGAGGATGGCCTCGTACCGGTATGCGTCAAGAGCATTCTCAGGGTTATCTTCCTCTTCTTGTCTACCAGGCTACCATCCTTTTGCAACACTTTCGTCTCTTTCAGCTCCGGAACCAACCTCTCTAACTCATCCCCATCATCCAGCTGTAGCTGTCCTTGCTCAACAAGCTGCATGCAGGCCAGCCCGGCGATCATCTTAGTGCAAGATGCAATCCAAAACACGTTGTCGAGAGTCATATTTTCGTTGCTTGCAACGCCACGTTGACCAGCGGCGTGTGCAAAGAGTTCTTCGCCATCTTTCCCTACAACAACGACGCTAGTTCCTGGGATAGATGTCTTTGGATCCGCGCAGGCTGCATCAACGGTCTGCTTCAGGTTTTGAACGACTTCAGTGGGCAGCGGCATGGCGAGATATTATAGCGGTACGGGTTTACAGAAGAAGTGTTTCGCGTATTCGGTAACACAGTAGGTGCTGTCGGTATGTACTTTTGGTACATCTATATACCAATACATGATCTGCGGCACCGGACGTGCGGGCGTGCGGGGTGATTGCCATTCGGTGTCGACATCGGGTACTGCCCCTCACGTCGCACATCGTGACAAAGCCTAACACATTGGCAACGAGACTCCAGCCAAAAGCTCCAGCCATGAAGATCATCCTTTAAGTTTCGTGCGTAGGTAGGCCAAAACGAACGCGATGTACGCTCTCGGTGGGTGCGGGCTACAGCGCGCGATGACAGCTAGCGTGCTGAGCTGGAGCTCGGCCGAGGCTTCTGCAAGCATCCAAGCGTACCTAGGATCTGGAGTCGTACTATACTACCATCTCCAGGTAGGTCGCGCCGAAGACTTGAGTGCTCACCGCATTTGTCTAGCAGCGGCAGCGCTTAGCTGGCCGTTACCAAATGGTTGCTCAATCTGTCTCGCCCCAGGTAATCACGAGTTACTACTACTACGTCTGTTCCAGTCCGATCTGACCTCAATATCTGTGTATGCAGGCTATCCTGTTTTCGCAAAGTGAAACTGTGGTTTGATCACGAGTTGCACTTCCTGCTCTGTGTACTTCCCATGATATGCCCACATCCAATGTCTTCGCCATGAACAGTGTAGAAGCAGTCCCCTTCTTCATGACCCTTTGAGTAGTGCGTAGACGATTCATGGTCATTCGCGGAGTCCAGCATGGCCCCCTTTGCCTCCATAGCGATACAAGTCAGGTCGTGCGCGAGTGGTGAGTCCTTTCTTCCATCTTTCCAGACCTGTCGCAATCCGTTCCTAAGCGCATATCGATCCCAGCCATTCTTTCCTGCATGGCGGACACCCGGTTTTTGTAATTGCCCATGAATTCGATGACAATTAGAACAATGTTCAGGCAAGTAGCGATTGCCAATGATACGAAAGGGCGTACAGCCATCGGCCCGCCAGGAGTAAGTATGCCCGAGGCAGCGAAAGCACTATACAATGTACAACCAGTACATATTGTAGGAGGAACAGCGCTCAAGTATGGATGAGTGAAGGGGTTGGCGAAGGTTGTGACATTCGGGGAACCCAACGTCGAGACATCGTAAGTCCTATGAGGTCCTAATTCTTCTTGATCTTCTGTATCGCCTGTCTCTATATCTTTGAATACATGCCATCCCATGCAGAGAACGAGGCCCGCCAGTTTGAGGATAATGGCTAGCATGATACCAAATCGAATCGGAAGGACCGTTGTCCAGTCTGTAGATCCAGAGTTCATGCAATGCATGTTCGCTCCATAAGCTATGATGAACAGGGCGAGGATAACTAGCGATAGACCAAGCTTCTGTGCATAGCGCCACGGATAGCGTTGTATAATGCTTCTCCAGAATCTTTCCTCGTTGATCATCCCGGAAACGTCAATTATTGCTGGATCTACGTCGACCGCGCGTCCAAAACATGCATCCTTAAAGAAGTACCAGCCAATGCAAGCGCCGATACCAATATAGACGAGGAACGTACCCAGAACGCCGGCGAGAATGTTCGAGCAACCGATGGCCTTACCTGGATATGGGTTCATCGTCCAGTAATCAAACGAGTGAGAGAACGTGAGACCACCAAGAAGAACTGCATATAGGCCGGGTATGTAAAGGTACCGCCACGGTATGTTGTTGTGGACCTCGAGCGTTGTGCGGTTTGATGGTAAGGTGTCTTTCATGATCGGATGTGCGATTTGTTGTAGTTGGAATGATCTTTTGGTGAATTCAAAACTTAGAGAAGCTGGGCATTAGTAGTGCGTTTGCAAGGAGGTGCCGAGATACCGGGACGCCCGTATGAGATCTCCTTCATACGTCATCTGACTCTACGAAGAATACGCGCGCCTATGATGGATGCAGCTGGGATAAAGGCGGCAATACGGCAATGCAGCAACACGACATTGCGAGAACAGAGGAGATCAGGCGACTGGTATTCGGGTAGGTAGGTCCTTTGCGAAGGTGCAGTCGTTATTGGCCTCGGGTGGTGCAGGCGCTGCAGGCTCGGCGCAGTCCAGTTGGTCGGATGTCGCAATATTCGAGACAGAACCACGACCCCAACTGCAAAGCTTATCCTAGATCTTGGTACACGCTTGCTCATTGGCCTTCAGCCCATACCGCCAGACGTAGAGGTGCGCGTACAGTCGTCAAAGGTTTGGTGGTCGCACAATGATCTCGAGATAGCGATGGGCGCTCCATCTAGCAGCGCCAAGCTAAGCAACACCCAGATGGCTGGTACAAAGCCACAAAGCCCGTGGAGCGCGACCGTGTCACTAGATCACCAGTTATGTGCGTTCGCGTCTCCTGTCACTACGTACATTTACGTTACTCCGTTACAGCTCGACGAAGCGAAACCTTCGTGAGCCCTGGTCGCGGAGAGTGGCTTCAGCCGTCACCCCTGCATCTTCGCGCGCACACACAATTCCACGAAAACTCTTCCTCAATCCACCACCAGGGTAGTGGGATCAATGAAAAGCTCAAAAGCAGACCAGCAAAAATTGCCCCGCCGAGATCCCCGAAGGAAGCTCGTAACAGTCCCATACCGCGCTGTGCAATGCAGACGAGACTGTTAGATGAACCCAATCTTTGAGCTGGGTCATCGCAAGAAGGTAAGTATGCAGAATAAAAGAGGAGGGAACAGCGGTATTTAAGCACTCAGGAGAAGGGCCAGTGCTGGTTACATGTGACCTTTGCACTAGAGAAGGCTGACCGCTTTCTGGCGTGTGCGGAAAACACTGCAGTGGTCCAGCTCCACCGGGCATTGCTTCCGGGTGGCCTAAGCGGTTGTGTTCCGTCTCTGCCGAAGCGGCCATCGTGAAGATTCTCCCAAGCTTTTCCAAGGTCTGTTCTTGGCTGAACGTCATCGAATGTGGAAGAGCGATGAATTCGATGAACAATTTTCACACGCGTCGGCCAAGAGTCGGCATCTACGATACGATCGAGCAGACGGGAGATCAGATCGCGTAGACGATGGAGTATAAGTTGCTGGTCGCGGTGGAACCGCAGAGCCAAGTTACGTCTAACCAAACTCCTTCAGAATGATCTTTGGTGGTGCAGGCCGGCTTTCTCTCCTTGCGTTCGCATCGTGCGTCTCGCTTGGTAAGGCAGCAACACTGTTTACCGGTGGGACAGTAATTGGTTGGGACAGTTCTGCCAATCATCTCGATGTTATCAGGAACGGTTCTGTGTTGGTCGAGAACGACACCATAACCGCTGTTTTCTCTGGATCCTACAATGGCACTCTACCGGCTGACCTGGAGGTCGTCGATACCACTAACGACATCATCTCCCCAGGCTTCATAGACACTCATCGTCATAGTTGGCAAACGGCCTTCAAGACCCTGGGATCGAACACGACCTTGATGCGATACTTTGAACGCTATGGAACCGACTCGCCCGCCAATACATTTTTCACGCCCGAGGATGTGTACATTGGCCAGCTCGTCGGGTTGTACGAGGCCCTGAATGGCGGTGTCACTACCATTCTGGACTACCCTCATTGCACCTGGTCCGCAGCGCACGCTATGGCGGCGCTGAACGCGACGTTCGAGAGCGGTGTTCGGACTGAATTTGCCTACTACTTCCAAGACTACGCGAACTTTACCGTCGAAGGGCAGGTGGACCTCTTCCGCGATTTGGTCAACGATGCGCGCTTTGACAGCTCGCCTACAAACCTAGGCATCTCATACGATGGTTTCGCTAGCACCAACAGGAACCAAACGCGCACAATTCTTGATCTAGCAATGTTAGTACCCACCCCACGAGAACGAGCACATAACTAACTGTTACCAGTGAGAAGAATGTATCCGTAGTTTCAACGCACGCAAACGGCGGTGTTTATGGCGCTCCAAACTTCCCCGAGGTCTTGCATGAATTCGACTTCCTCAACCAATCCATCCCGATCGTTTTCGCACATGCCAGCTATCATAGCGCGACCGACGCGCAACTCCTACGACAGTACAATCACTACATATCCACCACCCCAGAGTCTGAGATGCACTACGGTCATCTGCACCCAAACAGCCACCTCATCATGGACCAAGTGGCTCTAGGCATCGACACACACTTCACGTTCTCGTCGGATATACTGACACAAGCGCGATTGTGGCTCCAGAGTGTCAGGAAGATCTTCTACCGCGAAGTTGTTGATCGACGCCATCTTCCCGCCGAGAATCCCATGTCTGTCAACCAGGCTTTCCTTCTCGCGACTCGCAGCGGAGCGCTCGCACTGCGACGATCCGACATTGGTATCCTGGCACCTGGAGCCAAAGCAGACCTACTGGTATGGAACGGGCGCGCTCCGAGTGTACTTGGCTGGACCGATCCGATCGCTGCCATTATGTTGCACGCGAACGTAGGCGACATCAGGCATGTCATAATTAACGGAGAGTTCAAGAAGCGAGACTGGCAGCTAGCCGTAGCTGGATACACAGCGCTGCAAGACCGCTTCTTGGAGAGTGCGAAGAAGATTCAAGATCACTGGAGGGAGATGCCGCTGCCAGTTACCGAGGGCGAGGCAAACAATGGAGTGGCTTACGAGAAACCGATGATGGCGGATATTGGAAGAGGTGATGGAACTGGGTACGGACCTTTGTTCGTGTAGCACGACTTTGGTGTAATTGGGATAGATAATGACTTGTAATGTGGATGTTTAATTAAGAGCATAGTATATAAGACTGTTGTTTACGGGCCAGTCTTGTTTGACTCGTTCGTCTCCGGTATGACAGCGAAACGTGGTAAGAGCCTAGTACTTTCCACCAACGTGCACTTTCCACAGGAGCCGTAGATACTATGAGTGACACCGCTAGTCTTCGAAGAGAGTTCGAACCGCCCGTAGCCATTCATCGGGATTGTGCTCCTCCCTCGCCGCAGGTATAGTTTTATAGTCGTTCCACGAGTAATCTGTCTTATACTCATCTATATCACGCACATCCCACACACCCAATCGAGATCTCATAGCACGTAAGAATCGCTTTGCTCTTGTGGACAAGAATTGCGGGACTGGATAATGGTGCTGGACGATTGTGATCCGTAAGGCCTTCTTAACCCGCAATAGACCTGCTAGATCTTCCCAAACATCCTCGTTGTTGATGAAGGCGTGGTATCGCCCAGAAAGTGAGGCGTACAGTGAAACTTCATAGCTGCTTTCGTACGCACGGCGTTTGTCTAATAGCAGATTAAGTTGATGTAGTTGCGGTGCGTTGGCGATTGCATTGAGAAGCTGACGTATGGCGTGATTAGATGGGAAATCCGTCCGACAGAGGTCTGGATTGATGGAGTCTGGTTGCAGATCGTAGTTAGATACGTTCGATGAGTGCTGTCGCCGAAACTGAGGGCGACCAATACATCCATGGAAAGGTGTCGGGATTGTGAGCTCTTTGAGATGACGGAAGCTGGATCGAGGGAGGCAAAGTAGGCTGCCGCAAGCCATACGCCCGGATCTGATTCGGAACTGGTTTTCGCCATACAAGACATTCGTTGTCTCGGTGTAGATTTGCGTACAAGTGCGTAAGAGGGCAACACCACGAGGGTTGCCATCGCAAGATCGAAAACTGGTGATGCCGTCGCTAGGTAGCACGACAGGCCCCGATGATACGAGGATGGATCGATAAATCTCCACCCGAAGCTCAGCAGGTAGCGAGAGGAAAGGTGATGAGCCGCTGGTACTGGCGTGTTGATGAGCGTCGCAGCTTCCGGTGAATCTAGACTGAGTCATGTCGCCGTAGTTCGATATAGGGTGAGAATTGGTAGTTGTCATTTGTGAAGATACAGGAGAATCGAACGCGACGGAAGCTTTAAAAGTGGTATGAGAAGAGATTTCAAGGTAATGCCATTTGGTAGCGAGAATCTCCACGTGTACCGGCCGTACAATACAGCTACGCGTTTTCTCACTTCCTTGTCAGTGCCTTTTCTTCCCCGTACGAGTAGAAAGACGGCTCTTCGTACAACCTGTCGAGGTTGTGGGACGTATAAACACTCATGATCCGCAATACCCGCTTCGTGAATCCGCAAAATGTGGAGCTAAACGCAGATGCCTCTCTCACTGTGCCTCATACCATCAGATTCAGCGGACTTGCCTCGATTCGAGGGGTAGGAGAAGGGAAAACAGCACTGAAAATCAGCATTGAAATCAGGAATAGAAGAAACTGCGGACATTAGGACACCATGCGACAGTCTGATATGGCGAGGCTTACGGGCAACCCAAGGAATATCGCATGCAGGCGTGTGACTGGATCGGGAACAATAGTATAGATGCCATAGGAGGCAAGGTGAACCAAGAGGGGTACAGGGAGAGCTAGGAATACTCGATTGGTTGTTGGATGTGTGGCAGAGGCGAGTTTCGAGAAAGCGGCGGAGGTAGCTACAAGGATTATCATGAACAACTGTATATGCTTAGTGCTTCCTCTGGCTAGTAAGAGCGAGTAGGCGCTCAACTGGTAGTTCCAACAAGCAGATAGGGTATATCTGCGACTCGTCGGGTGTGCCGGATAGGGTGACGTAAATGCTCAAAACGAGCGCGAAAAGGGTGCACATGATAGCCAGTGTTCCCAGAACGCTGGTCATAGTATTGTCATCACCGCCGGGGGTGGTGACCGGTCGGGTTGGCGAGCGTCCGCCTCTCTCGGATGCGGGAGGTGTAGCTATCGGGGTGGACATCTCGCTGCTGAGTCGTACCATTCTTAAGGAAGTCACCCGCAAGGAGGTGGTGAAGGGAGATGGGATAATCGATGGCGGGAAGTCAGGAATTTTGACTGTGCCATATATTCTTCAAAAATTCCCGAGGGTGCTGTTCTTGGTAGCGGGAGGCTTGCGCTTCGCGAGGAACCGCGGGTGGGTCAATGACCCTGCGCTCAATTGCCAGCGATTACACGGCGAAGAGGCTGCATTCTCATAGCGTGCACGTCTTCGAATGCGCCCACATGTATTTCAGAATTCGCTGTGGTTCACCAGAGACCAACAAAGCTACAATGTTCCACCGCGAACGAACTAACATCCCTCGCTTGGTACGTGTCATAACCTGTGCTGCAGTCTCTTCATTCACAAAATCTCGTAACGCTAAGTGACCGATGACATATACTTCAAGCTTGCCTGTGCAGCGGCCTTTACCTCGTCATCGAAATGTTCTTGAGACAACTCCTCCAGACGTCTCCTCCAAAATAACCATCGCTCAGCTCCATTCTGGAACTCCCTTGCTTCATCTGGCAGTTGACCCCTTGTCCAATCCCCCAATCCCTTAGTCACAACTTCGTCGTAGACTTCGCTCCCATTGTACTTGAACATATAGGAGACGGCGGGAATGTGCCAGTCAAGCTTGATTTGATCATAACCAGTAGCTTCATCTGGAGCAAGCTGCTCGTCGCTCTGGTCGATTTCTTTCTCGAGCGCTCGGATGATGAATCGAATCGTTTTCCTGTCCACCCTAAACACGTGGTTCGCATACAACTGAGCTTCGAGGTCCTTCATCTTCAAATAAGATTTCCGTCCCAACTCGACCAAGGTTGAATCGAAATACTGCCGGCAAATTTGGCCTGGATGGATGTCATAGTGAGCCCTCTCGTGCCAGGCCATGCCGAAGTACGAGAATCGTGCCCATGAGAGCTTTTTTCCCGCAGCAAGAGCCTCGCCTTTGTGGATGTAACCCGGCACCTTTCCGATCGCATTCAGTAGCGTAAAGATCTCTGGGACACGGGTGGATGGCCATTCCATGAGGGCGTCTATGATGAGTCCCCATAAGTCATCAACAGCCAGGACCTCATCAGAATAGCCTCCTAGTGCTGGTACAGGCGAGGTGGATATTGGGTGTGTCATGGATAATGCCGCCTCATCTGCATTCATGTGGCCATCGTGGTATGCTTTCAATGCGTCGACCTCCGTAGCAAGCCAGTCGCGAAGGCTCGGGTCATGGCTCTCGACAGGACGCTGCTTCTGTCGCTCAAACCATGCAGGGCTGACATTGTGCTCGTCTTCTTTGGGTGATTCGAAGTGGTCGTGGTATAGCACGCGGACGTTGGGCTTGCTAAATCCCCGGCCTCTACCCCGGCCTCTATAGTTGCCGGAGCCTCTGCCTCTGGACATAACGATGGGTAAGAAGAGAAAGAGAATGAAGTCGTCGTGTTGTGCGGCATGAAGGGCAGAGCATTGCGGCACAGTTAGGCGTCCTCCCTACGCGCAGGCTCCACAATCGTAAACCCAATACTGCTGATCATGGAAGCATTGCGACGTACGCGAAAGCGACCACAACGTTATGACGTCGTCGCGTTGATACTCCCGAGGTCACCTGGGCAGGCCTGGGCAGTCACAGCAAGCGAGCAGCGGGTCGCGCATGCAGGTCCAACATGATCGCCACAGCCAGGCGCCAACGCCACGATTTCGCACCCTTGCCACCCACGCGATTCTAGGCCCTGTGCACCGCCACACCCGCCATTTATCATCCCATCTACCCTCTTCCATCCCATTCTCTCCCCATAACATCCACACCCACCCGTCCCATCCATCTCTGCCGACAGGCGGCAAGACACGGCACAATCAGGCATCAGGACACGTAACACGTTGCACCAAACGCGCTAACACGCTGTCACATGGCCTGGCCTGGCGCCCAATCAGGTTGCGACAGCGACGTTGTTGGGTTGTTGGGCGAGGAGGAGAGGCGGGTGGGAGTCATACTTTCGTTCAACGTGGCTGCTGTGGCTAAATTTGCCTCAGCGGGATGCTACCCAAAATTTTGAAGCTGAAGCCTATGTTGAGGCGAGGTGACTAAGAAGGCGAATGTCCGTTCGGAGTCCGTCGGATCAATCATCACCGCATCGAGAAGGCAGCAACCGTAATCACAATGTTTGAAGGAAGCATAAGCCGGAAGCTGTGGAAGGCGCTTTTTAGTGCGCAAATGACGTGATGCTACACAGTGCATACTCTGGTTCTCGCGATGCACCTCGTACTCGGATATCACACCCGTAACGGCATGAATAGCGGCACGGTTGCCTGGGCATATGCGAACGTCTGTCTAGGCAGATAGCGCACGCGCCCTTCTGCCGTAAGACATCGCGGGTAAGGCAATCCTGCTAGGCACCAAGGGCGTTGCGAACGAGGCTAAGGTATGCATTGTTTTCGGGGGCCAAAAGCCAAACTCAACCTCATACCGCGGCAGACGAGAAGATCACGAAAAGTGCAGGAAGGAGCGAGACTGTCGAGTGTCTATCTTTTAAATTACAGTACAATAGTTTAGAGTGGCATATTCCATCTATAGATTTGAGCGAGGTATCATCTGTCCGTATCCCCCCTGCCTTCCCCTATCCAACCCATTCCATCGCAGTCTTTGGTATCATAGCTATCGTGGGTGAACATGTGCCAGCCATGCGTAGAGTGCGTAAATAGTTAAGAGATATTACAGTTTAGGGGTGTTACAAGGAAAGCAAAAACGCTCAAGTGATATGTACAGTGAGCGACAGTGAAGTTATGGAACAGAGAATGAGGCTAAGCGGAAGAACGCCGGGAAATGCATCGAGTGACAGCGACGCAAAGTCATCATCATCACCTATGACTCTGTTGAAGAGCCATGACTGCCTGCTCGAGCTGCCGTAACCTCGAGTCCTTCTCTTCATTCTCCTGACGGAGACGCTTGATCTCAGAGCGCATCTCATCGTTGCCACGGTCTGAGAGGCCAGAGTCAGAGCCAAGTCGCTTGCGCTTCAGACTCATCTCATCTTCCTCGCGGTAGTCCATGGTGCGGTTGTACGGTGACTCCGAGGTGCGTGACTCAGGAATGGGAGAACCCCCCTCCATCTCACGCCTGACCATGTCGCGGCGGATGATCAAGCCATGCATATCTGCCGACATTGATGTTCTGCGGTGAACACGACGGACATGCTCAGCGAGGTTCTCCTTCCGCGTGAAGCCGGCGCCTGAGCTGCGCTTGCAGTCGTGGAAGGGGCAGAAAAGGGACTTCTTGGTACCGCCATGCATCTTGTGAACTTCGCGTTCGTGGCGAAGAAGGCCACCGCTGTAAGTGAAGCCTTGGAGCTTTTCGCAGCCCTTGACGTTGCACTTGTAAGGCCTGTCATGCTTATCCATGTGTTTGCTGTAAACGTCAGTGTCTGTTCGTGTGAGTCTGGGAATACTATCACTCACCTCCATTCGCACTTTCGGTCAAAAGATGTACCGCGGCACTCTTGATACTTGCACACCATCTTGCCGTCTTCGTTGCGCGGTGGTTCTTCGGCGCGTTTATAGCTGTGGTTCTTCCGTAGTGATCCGTCGTCATCGCCGTCTTGCGAGGAGTCTACAGAAAGTCCCCTGCTGTGGCTTCGGGGCGGGCTTGTAACGATGATTTGTCGTTCGCCAGCAGTTGGAGAGGTCATAGGTGATCGAGCGCTCATGCTGACCGGGGTAGGCATATCGGTGAGCGAGCTGATGGAAATGTTCCGCTTGTGCTCGTGCGGCACTTGCATGGAAGTAGGGTTTGGCGAAAGCTCAGTCATGATGTCTGGATATCCAAGGTTGAAATACTGAGGGTTGTAACTGTGTTGCTGGGCCTGAGGCTGGCGGCTTGGTTGATATATACCGGGAGACGCGAAGGCAGTTTGTGGCTGAGCAAAGAGATCGCTTCCCGCCGCTCCGGTGACTCTAACTCTCGGATCTTGAGTAGAAGTGATCAGATGACGCGGACTGTCTTGAGGTGGCAACGTATATGAGTGCCAAGGAATTTCGTGGTCGGAGCCCAGATGCGGAAAGGCCGTTAGAGGTGGCGCAGCAATGCCTTGATCTTGAGGCGAATAAAAATTAACGGGCGGAACTGCCTGGAAGTTTGGTGCGGATACGCCATAATAAGTATCTGGATTTGGATTTGTTAGTCGCAGCTGCGAACAAGTCCAGCCTGAAACCCAGGGTAGGCAGAGAAGTCGTGACTCAACTCAAACGGACACGGGACACTAGGCACTTACTTGGTCGCGGCTCTGGGTCCGCACCTTCTCCAGCCTGACTAACCCGCAGGACTGGAACTGGCAGCCTGTCCGCAAGACCATTCAAACTCAGATCGGGCTCCCAGGTTTCCGTGTTTCGTGCCTGGAATGGAGCATGGTCCACATGGACGTTTGTCGCAGGCGTCGCATGCTGCGGCTGCTCGCCAATCAGCTCTTGGCCAAAGCTGAGGTCTGCAATGCATTAGCACCAATCGGGATAACCACAAACCTTCTTCGTGTTTTCACGCTCGACCAATCGCAACCAGTCATCCACCTGAGCAGAAGCCTCATCGGGCGGAAAGAAATGTAACACATACAGTCTGACGATGCATCGGTATCCCACGAAAGATTGAGGTTGTGTAGCACGTTGTTGTACGGCACGCGGTCTTTGCCAGTTCCCTCGTAAAACATCCAGCAAACTCCCCACAGAACGGCTAGCGACGGTTTGATAGTCCATGGGAAGGTGCTGAGCGCTTGTGGCTTCTCAGCGAACTCTGTAAACCAGGCCAGGAGTTTGCGCTGCCTCTTGTCGTGATCGCCGCAGAGCAACTCCTCCAGAGCCTTGCGTGCCAAGGACTCGATTAGGTCTGTCTGTAGCCGCAGCAGTAGATGTTCATAGTTGGCAATGAAGTTCTCGTCAAGGATCAGTCCGAGGTCAAGCCCTTGGGCCAAGAGCCAGTCGTCACCATACTGCCGGCGACACCCCGCAAGCACGTTGATCGCTTCGTGTACTGCCACGAGGAGCTGGATAGTTTCGTTCATGGAACGAGCCTCCAAGATCGACGCGTTGTCGTGTTTGAGAAAGAGCCTGTCGCTGTCCGCGATAGACGAGAACGCGTTTCCCGCTACATGGAGTTTGCCGTCGACGTAGCGAAGCATACTAGGCCCGCAGGTTCAGTAGTTGAAACTAAACAAAAGCTTCCGTGAACGTACTGTTGCACCTCATTCCCTAGGTTTCGACTTGCGGGAGCAGCCGAAGCCGGCGTCTGCAGGTTGCGCGACGATCGAGTGAACGTCGCACCCTTCTGACTCTTGCAGATGCGATTGGCGACGCGACGCGACTGCCTCGCATCCTGGACGCTGATCCGTGATAGATTCTGGGCGACACTTCGGAGGCTCGGCGCGAGGCTGATGCCAAGAGGGCTCGCATCGATTGAGCCATGCTGCACACGCGGCTTGACACGACGACGAAGCTGTTTGACAAATTGGAGGATTCTAAAGGTGAGGATAATGCTCGTTTGCTTGTTGCGCTGCTGGATCGCCATTGCTAAGCGAGACGGGCGGTCCGAAGACGTAAGAAGAGACGACGTGTACTCAACCTTCGCCTCTCGCGTTCGCAGCTAGCATGTATATACTTGGAATCATCCAAGGGCGGAGCACATTGCAGAGTGCCTGCCGGTGAGCCTGCCTCGATGAGAGGAAACTGTCAAGCCACGCTGTACGGCCACACGCGGCATGATTGGCTGGCTCCCGGCTTGTTGAAGTGCTCAGCCACAACAGAATGCCGCTTGATAACCTGGGGCATCAACGCCAGACTCGACACCACTTCTCCCACCCTATCGTTTGGACAGCCTGGCAAAAGACAAGGTCACGCATTGAGTGAATAGCGTGGCGCAGCGGTTCTCCTACCTTACACGAACACTTTACGGGCAGGCCCCCGCAAATGTGCCGTGTTGCAGTCGTTTGACCGCCATCGTTTTGTCGTTGCCTTGAGAGACAGCCTGTATTCCCCCAGCACCGGTGTCGTCTTCATGCGGAACGTTCAGCGACCATCGGAAAGTATCGCTGACCGCTTGACGTCTGTGAATCCCTCGGGATCTGCGGCTAGGATGTAACGAGGTCCCCCCGCCGTGATGGTGTTGCGGCCTTCCGAAACAAGGTGGAACATAGATCCTGCATGACGTCTCATAGCTGGGGATGGTTGCGGCTGATCTTCGGTAAAGAGGACTCGAACGATAACGACGAAGCTTTTGGTGATTATGGACGTGATGTGGGAAAAAAGAAAACATGTAGGCATTGAAGTTGCGGTGGTTGGATGCTTCCGATACCATCTATCTCTCACGTGGAATGAGCGACCCTCTCCCCCCAACTTCAACTCGCCAACTCTCTTATCCGACTCAACGTACTCGGCCTCCCGGACAGCAGCATCCCAGGCCTATAACCCGGCGTCACACGAAACACCCCCACACCCCATTGCCGAATCGCAACATGTTCGCACCGAGTGTAGATCCGGATGCCAAATGCAGACCATGCATGCGAACTATCACGTGCGGCCTCGCGGCTTCCGAAAGCCCGTTTCCTCTCGGGCAATGCATGAACAAGTTTTGAATCTTTGGGCGGAGAGATGTGTACCGAAACCTGAGAGGCCTCAGGCGGTAAGGTTTGTCAAACACGAGCCGAGGTGTAGGAGGTATTTCAGTTCTCGCGACAATATTTCGCGTGATCATACACAGGTCCGTTACTCTCTCTGCGATCGTTGTGCAAGCTACTGTCTCTCGGAGCATACTGAATAATGAGCATCGATCGGCTCGATGCATAGGTGCTGTTTGTTGTTAGGACAGTGTCAGCAAGGCAAATAGTGGGGATTATTCGTAGACAACCTCCCAGCTGACACTACGCCTGGTACGTGAGACACAACGAGAGGTGAGAAGAGACTCCGGCTTTCGATTGTAGAGAAGCGTTATCATGCTCATGTCAATATATTGTACAGCAACCCCGCTGGCTATGCATTTTTGCCTTTCGTCCAGCTCTTTGTTATCTTCTTTTCCTCTTCCGCTCAACCTTGCACATCCTCAAACGCTCATGACCTTAGGCCCAGCAAGAAGCTGCCTCCACTTGAACCACCGCCATTGCCGCCAGAGTTACCGCCGGGTAGATAGCTGATGTTGGGGTTCCTCGCCAACATCTGCGCAATATCCTTCTGTGTCTCAATGCGCCTGATCAGCACCAAGCCGTCACCACTCTTGGCCACTGCCTTTGAAATTGTGTCGGCAGCCTCGGCTTCACCCTCTGCCCTGATGACGTTGGCCTGCCTCTCCTGCTCGGCCTTCTCGACAATGAAGCGCGCGCGCTCGGCCTCTTGTTGTGCGATCTGCTTCTCTTCGACGGCCTTGGTGAACTCTTTACCGAAAGTCATGTGGGTGATGGAGACGTCTTCGAGGGCAATGTTGAACTCGTTGGCACGCTTGAGCAGGTCGGTGCGAATGCGGTTCGAGACGGCCTCTCGCTGGGTGATGAGCTCGGCGGCATCGAACTGGGCGACGATGGCTTTTAGGACTTCGTTACCGATGGAGGGGAGGACACGCTCGTCGTAGTCGAGACCGAGGTTCTACTAGCGCGTTAGATGCAATTCCTCGAGCTGCCTGCTGCACGAGTGCGGAGGGGCATAGACATACCTGGTAGATCTTAGGCAGCTGCTTAACCTCTGGGCGATGCAGCACCCTCAGTGTGAGTGTGACCATCTGCAAGTCCTTGCTGCCCGTCGTAGTGCTGATGTTCCGCGGCCTCGTCCTTACATCGAAGACAATCGCCCGCTGCAGCCATGGTACCAGAAAGTGGGTGCCCTCGTTGACGACTTGTTCCTTGACTCCCGACAGACGATCGAAGATGACGGCGCGGGTTCCGCCCTTGACGTCGTAGAGCGAGCTCTGCACGACACTGGCGCCGATGGCGGCAGGAACGACCCAGCGGAAGAGGGAGGTGGGTATCGCAGCCATGGTTGGCGGGTTGTGCGGATTTGGTGTGGTGAGGCGGCGGCAGGCAAGATGCGGAGAATCGTGAGAAGTGGATGATGCTTCTACTGGAAATATGGTCCGAGCGTCTGCGGCGAACGATGCCCGTGATTGGCGCAAACACTACCACCACGGATGCACAACGAGCACATGCTGGCGGGTTGAGGCGTCTTCATTAGATAGTCCAGGCTGTTGCATTGTTGTCTTACCCGACCCTGGTACGCTTCCGTGCATGAGGAAAGTCACGGAAGAGGGGCTGTCAGATCAGGCAGGAGGCATTCGGTTGGTAAACAAAAAGACTCATATGCGTGTCGAAAAGGATGTATTCATCAACGCCGATGCTGATATGCATATGTGTGGCTTAAAGCCCGTCTACGTACTCCCCGCCTCATCCATGACCCCCTCCACCAGCTCATTCTCATCTGAGCGACAGCCACCGGTACAAGGTCGGCTCACTACTGCTCAATAAAGCCCTTGTGCTCCTTGTGCGCCTTGTACCAGTAGCTGTCCTCCTTCTTCGGCCGGAGCTCCTCTGACAGCTTGTCTAGGATGACCGCCAGAAGTTTCTGACGGCCATCCTCGTTCTCCGCGTCCCGGTTCCAGACGGCGATCTGTACAGCGTTCCAGCGAACGCTGTACGAGATCCCGCAGATGTCGTCGTTGAAGGCTGTTGAAGATTAGTCTTGAATACGTGTGAATTGTTGGAAAGAAATCAACTTACAGGCACGCTTCGTCTCGACGGCCCCCTGCAAAACGTCGCCAACCGCAAGCAGACACATCTCGTGCCAGAATTGCGCCGCCACGTCCTTGCTGACCTTGAAGTACCATGCGCCGCCGCGCGTATTCCGCGGGTCTTCCCAGACCGGCTTCACACCCAGGTGGAAGAGGTGTATCGAGTCTCGCAGCTTCAGGTTCTCCACCGGGATGTTGTTGAAGTGCTGGTAGAACTCCTTGACGGAGACGATCTGGTCTCCAAGCGGCTTGGGGCGGGTGAGGTACTCTTCTGAAGCCGCCTTGTCCTTGGGCGCGGCTTGCTGACCCTTCTCTGCCCAGAACATCCATTTGAAGCGGAACTCGGGTACTCGCACCGACTTGAAGATGTTGTTGAGCATGGCGGTGCCGCGCGCAGGCGAGGCCGTGGCCGACTGCTCTTCAGCCGATGCCTTCGGGAGGTCAGAGGTGCTGAGCACCGGGAAGCGACCAGCCATGGCGGGAGATGTGATGGGGATGCCGAGGTTGCTGCTGATGAGCTGGAGTTCCTTGATGTTGGAACGCGCGGTGAAGATGCGCTTGCTGTTTTCGATAGCGAGGTCGTTGGCGAGGTCCTCGGAGGTCTCCTTGGGCTGGACGTTGGGGACGACGAGGATGGTCTCACGGGCAATGGCTTTGTTGAGGGTGACGAGGATGCGATCAGCGGCGACCTTGGCCTCGTACGTCAGGGGCTCGTTGGGGTAGGGTACGCCGTGCTTGGTCGCGTAGATGAGGTCTTCAAGAAGAGAGACGGAGGTGGACTTGCGGGCAGCTGCTGCAGTCCTAAGCTTCTTGCGGGTCTCGTTGGCCGAGGCAAGGAAAGCTTCGCGCTCCTTGAGCTTGGCCTGGTCAGCGTTCTGAGCGGCAGAGGCCCTGAGCATGCCGATGATACGAATGGTCTCGTTCATGGTCATGGTGATGGATGTGAATGTGGTATAGGATAGAGTGATGTAGAGAGGAGAAATGACGACTGAGAGTCTCTGAATAGATATAGAAAGCTGGCGGATGGTGGTTTGTAGATTGTGAAGGCTTGTGAAGAACAGGAGTGTGATGGACGAGAGACAGTCAAGGACGAGCGATTGGAAAGTTTTTATGCTCTCCCAGCCTCCTCATTGCAAAGACAAACAATAGCAGAGAAATCTATTGTGGACTCGCTTGAATGACGGTGGTGAAGGTGAACGCGCAAGGTGAAGACGAGTGGACCAACCAGCGCTCGGCGTTGGGCTCGATGAAAACTGATCATGCTGGCACAATAGCAGAACGCGCAAGATGATAGCAGATGATCAATAGGGAAATATGCAATCATCTGATGCTGATGCTGGATCGGGGCAGATCGATCTTGATAAGATCCATGGATGGGTGCATGTGGGCAAGTCTGAGGTTGACTTTCGATCTGGTGGCAAGAAAGAGACGACGGGAACGGAGATGGATGAATTTGTAGAGATTGTAGCGACATGAGAGAATAAGTACATACCTAATGTCTGATATCCAGAAATCTCGCGCAAAGACAATTGAGCCTTGCACACGGTTGCCCAGGTGGTGAACACTGATGAAAGTCGGAAGCGGGGCAGCGACACACCGACTCTTGCAGACACCGTCACAAAAGCTATGAGAACAGGTAGAGAGAAGGATCACAGCAGCGAGACTGTAAAGATTGACGAGAAGGGGTGAGGTCGGATATGTACGAGGCCAGCTGGAGCTTTAAGAGGCTTAACCCCTCGGACAGCACAAGTCAGCCATGCAGGCGCCCGCTCTAACTACGTTTCAAGACGCCGTTTCACGACCCCTGCTGACACCAACGAGTCGCTTCTGCCTCAGGCCAATCTGCAGCCGCACGCCTTGGACTGTGGAGCATCTGACGGGATATCCCATTGTTATAGATGTACTTGAACATGTCATGTGTGCATATCTGGTTGGCATTGGCTGTCGGCGCCATGTGCTGGAGGCATCTGGAGGGCGGTGACGTAGCCAAGGGTCTTCTCCGGCTCGCTACCCTGGCGCGAGATCTGCACCCGTCTGCGCGAAACTTTGAATCTTGGCCAACTTTTTCCCCAGACTTTTGTAACCCACTTCCAAACGCGTAGACGTCCTTAACCGTCTCTCCTAAGATTACCCATATCGAACACCACCAAGTAATTATGTCGCCATACGTCCACGAAGCCGTCGCGCACCGCAGCAAGCGCGTGCGCTTCTCCAACGAGCCCGAATCTTCGCCGCCCTCGATATCCTCCGACTCCGCCCTCGCGTCGACAAACGCTGCAGACGATTCTACCACGAATGCAAGCGACTTTGGTACCTCAGACAGCGACAGCGAATTGTCCGAATCGAGCGAAGAACCCAGCAGCGACGAGAGCTCAAGCGAGGAGGAAGACGACGATGGCGAGGACACAGAGATGGAGCTCGAGGAGCCACAATCACAAGACGGCGTCGTAAACCTCCGCGCCAACAGAGGCACGAAGCCTATCATGAGGCTAGGCGATGAGGATCTAGGACCAGACATTCGCGGCTTCCTCAAGGACTTTCTGCCGCAGTTGAAGGCTGCGAACGAGGAATTGGAGGCGCAGAAGAAGGCCGGGACGCTGAAGAGCCTGGAAACTGTAGAGGGACAGGACGAGGGCGAGCCGTATATTGAGATGGTGAGTATTGAATCTTGAGGGTATCGTAGGGCGCTGCTGACAGTGTCTAGGACCTCGGACTAGGTGTTCTCGAAGAAAAAGACCCGAACGCGGACAGCGACAAGGACAGCGCGAGCGATGCGGAAGACAGCGATAAGGAAAAGGATGTGTTGGGCAAGCTGATGGGGCGCGAGAAGAGAGATCCTGCGAGCATCGAGGTCGTGCAAAACACAACAGAGTCAACATGAGATGCTGGCCAAGACGATTGCCGTCATTACGGGCGCCTTCAGAAACGGACTGAGCTACGGATACGACAGTGTTTGCGCGCGATCCGCATGCTCATACTGAGGCCTTCACCTATCCAGTCACTGATTCGCCTGTCAAAGGCCTGATGTGTGAAGAGCGAACGAGATTCGGTATAACCCCTCACCTGTGGCTCTGTGCGGAAGCTAATGTAGCATAAGGATCACGCAACCTTCCGGTATGCTCTTCAATGTACAATGTAGACATTGCAGATATGGGACCTAGGCTCGGAGTTGAACGACTGGATATCAATATCACGCATACACAATCACATACTGCAAGCACGCAATGCTTCGTCCTGTGAAGAACCCACGATGCATTGGTGGCTATAAGTAGCCGCCCCAGCACTTACACTTACTCTTCCTTAGACCTCACAGACAACGCATACACACACTACCATTTACAGCATCATTCGACTATATCGACAACAAACTTGATCAACATTCCAGCTCCACGAGACACGACTACGCTCAACGACCGTATCTTTCCCTCGTCAAACACAGTTGGGCCCAAGCCTCTTTTCTGTACCATCGGCCATTATGAGTGGAGTACCAGGTAGGGGTAGGGGTAGGGGTAGGGGTTCTGGAGACAAGGATGATGAGAAGAAAAAGGCTGATGAGAAGAAAAAGGCTGATGAGAAGAAAAAGGCTGATGAGAAGAAAAAGGCTGATGAGAAGAAAAAGGCTGATGAGAAGAAAAAGGCTGATGAGCAACACCGCAAGGAAGCGGAGCAAGGGCAAAGACTGATTCCTCAGGGGAATTTTGCGGTGACATCCTCTGGGAAGTTTGGAGCACCAAAAGCACCACCCAGCTATATGACATCCTCTGGGAAGTTTGGACCACCAAAAGCAGAACCCCGCTATATGGGTGAGCAAAAGAATATCTCGGTTGATTCAGCGTTCAAGACGGCCAGCTCAGTGTACAAGTCTAAGACTGGGCCTCCTGATTATGCCCATGGACCCAACAAAGCCGCCGTGGACCCATTCTACAACCTGAGCCAGGGCTCTATTGAAACAGGAGCAAAGCTGAAACCGGGTAGACCACGACGTAGAGTTGCTACTGGCAATGCACAGCCCCAAGGTCCACAGCTGGGCCCTGCTTACCCTACAGCTCCGTCGATACCACAAACACGGGACACGTCGCATACTCATAGCTTCCAGCAGCCCCCGCAGCAACAATTACCACCCATATCGTCGATTCCTCATGCCTCTCAAGCTCCGACAAAAGCACGAACATGGGAAATACCACCTGCTCAAGCAGATGGGTCACGGCGGCCTCCAGTGCCACTAGCAGTAATGCCACAGATTACCCATCCCACTACAACTCCGGCGAGATCACAAACATGGGACACGTCGTATACTCAAGCAAGTAGCTTCCAGCAGCCTCCAGTACCACGATCGGGAATGGAGTCGATTCTTAATCCCCTTACACCTCCTCCGGGAGCTCAAACATGGGCAAGGCCGGCTACTGAAGCAAGTAGCTCCCGGCGGCCTTCACGGCAACAGCCGCGTGCGCCTGTGCCACAGTACCCCCCACCTGGACAATTCGCACAGGAAACTCAACCTCCACGTGCCTTCCAGCAACCCCCACCTAGACAAGAGCTAGGTTACGCTGAAGAGTATGATCCACATCACCGTCAAGGACATGTCCCCCATCAAGCTGCTGGCTATGGTTCACTGCAAGGCTCATATTCCTATGACACACAGCAACCCGAATATGACGCACGCGAAGCATATCCGGAACCTCCTCGTCGACGACAGACAGACCCAAGTTCGGACCCGTACGCGGCTAACCCGTACACGGCTATTACTCAGCCTCTTGAGACTCTATACATAACCCCACGTCCGATTCGAGAACCGACTTATCAGGCAACCCCGATGGGCGCTACAACCGCCAACCCATCCGGAAGGCCAAGACATAGTCCACCATCGGAGGATGATGATACACGACCGACAAGGCGACGGAACACTGGAGATAACATTGAATCCACACCTAAATCAGATAAAATGGGCTTCGGTTACATCATGGGTCCGAACAAGAAGTAGGGCCGACCTAGAAAGCAGAACGAGCAGATGAAGTTAGGCATAAATGTTGGGATTGTTTCAATAGCTGGATATTAGATCGATGGTGTGTCTTAGCATTCTTACGCGACAGGGTTGGAGCTGGCTCTGTACTCTGGAGGGGGGAAAGATGCGCTTGGGTATTTCTTGTGTTGCTTTCTTCAGTAGCAGATTTTGGTTCTGGTTCTTACTTGTGTACTTAGTATGGTGTAACTTTATTATGACTTCAGCATAACTTAATCTGGATTTAGCGAAAGATTTCTGGCCCACCCGTACTATCCTGTTGTTCTTGCCCACCTCCACCTTTCAACATGCATCACTAACGCCTCGCAAATGCCTCGGTGACACCACATCCCCCTCAACAAGGGGCGTCTAATGACCAACACCCCCCTTCGCCCACGTCGCATCAGCATTCTCATGGATCTTCGGCACCTCAATATACTCCCTCACCCCCTTCTTCCTCTGATAATCGCTATCAAACCGCTGATCCCTCTCCTTCAACCTCTTCTCAAAATCTGGCATCTGATCCGCTGCCGTATAACTCGTCATCAGCTGCGGGGGTCCAAGCGGTAACTTGTCACCACGGTCAGTCTGCCAGAGATGGTAGATCTTGCCGTATAATTCCACAACTTCTTCCATCTCTTTGTTCTCGGCTACTTCCCATGCGGCTTCTGGTACGCCGGTTGGACGCGGCATGATTAGCATTCCGGACTTTACTTCGAAGACGTGGGAGTGCCAGAGCTTTTGCTCTTCGGCGTCGAGGGTTGAGTAGAGTTTGGGTGAGATCATGTACTCTGAGATTGTATTAGTATGCAGTCTTGCGATTGAGGACGCAGGATGCTTACCAATGCCGATGATCCGCGCGCCTTTCTCGGGCGAGTCGTAGAGGATGCATTGGCGTACTTCATCGTTCAGGTGCGCGCAGTAGTGGTTTGCTTCGACTGCATCGCGCTTGGGATCGTGAGCGTATGCGTGGAAGGCGTTGAGGTGCGCGCATATCCTCTTGACTGGCGCGAAGTTCTGTACAATTGGTTAGCGTAGTCACTACACGAGCTGAATTATGCTTACCTGAGTCATACCAGCACCAGTTTCAAGTGTGTTGTTGTATGCACTCTCAGGCTCACCAGCCGTCTTGTTGTTCACGGGAAGCGAGTCCATGTTGTGTTGGGTTCTGGGTGATGTCGTTTCTAAGTGCTGATTGATGGTGCTACTGGTAAGGCCTTGGAGATATGAACTCTGTCCTTGCTTTTAATCTCAGTTATTTGTCGAAGTCGCCGACGATAATCGCCGTTTGGGAACAGTTATCGGCGTCTCAAATGGCGAAGATTTGAGAATGCACATGGGACCATGAACAGAGGTTGACGTCATGATGACTTTTGATTGGGTAAAACACCGGACCCTGCACCCCGAGATCTCTTCTTGGGGAAGCAAAAGCCGACCGACGAAGACACTGCATCTTCAACTAGGTCACTGTCGGCGTCTTCTCTAACATAATCCTCTTGTTGATTTTGGCAACCATAGGGAGGCCTGGAATTTCTTTGGAGCAACACAACACTAAAAGCTGCTAAAAGCGGTCTTTCAGGGTCTAACCGCGCACAACATGTAAAGCTCAGTACACTGCATACAACTTCTGAATGTACATTTCGGCTGCGGCGATGACTAAGCGTCTCCGATATCGTCTATATTCTAGACTGCGACGGTCTTGCATACGTAACCGCAATACTGACTGTCTCTGAGCGACTAAGGTGTAGTCGACCCTCTTCGCTTGAACCTGCACTCAACACCAGTCTGGACGTTGAAAGAAGCATTGTGTGTCTTCCACGGCTTGTCATGTGCCATCTCAAAGTCGAACCGATGCAGTACCTCGGTAGTTATCTTGTAAATCTGTGTCAAAGCGAGCTGTCTATTGTCAGTACTTCTCTAGTATGTGATCACGGAGAACTCACGGGTCTGCCAACGCATGTGCGTGTCCCAGCACCCCAACCTAGGATTGTCTTGTCCATCGCCCGCGTACGATCTTCACTCTGCAGCCATCGCTCGGGAACGAATTCTAGCGCATCTTTTCCAAATACGTCTTTGTCGTGCGAAACGATTGAAGGGTTCATTCCAACTGTGTAGCCTGCTGGGATGTATTTCCCACACAGAGTGATTCCTTCGCTTGGAGCATATCGAGGCATCGATACCGAGAATGGAGAGAATAATCTCAGGGCTTCCTTTACAGTCGCTAGGAGGTATGGAAGAGAAGATACCTGACTGTACTGTACTGGTGATGAGAGGGTACCGTTCTCAAAGGCCGCATCGACTTCTGCGCGCGCCTTTTCCAGTTTCTCGGGGTTCTTCATCAAGAAGTAGAAAACGGAGCGCATTGCGATGGACGTGCTATCAGCTCCAGCCATGCTAATAACAGTCAGCATGATACTCCACGGTAGCTGTTCTTTCAGTACACATACATTGCAACCCACATGTCCGATGTGATCTCTCTGTGCGAGTAGTTGACTTTCTCTCCCTTTTCTTGCACGATCGCCAGAAGCTGAGAAAGTAAGTCGGGTCGCTTTCCCGTTACTTCAAGGGTTCTCTCGGTGGCGGTCTTCGTCTCTATAATCGCAGTCTTCTTAATGTCCTCCACAGCCAGCACAGCCTTCAGTAAGCTCGGGATGCACACCGCGACCAAAAGCAGAAACGGTCGTATGTAGTACGGGGTGACTGTCAGAAGGGTAAGAAACGGCATTGCAAGATGGACCGAGTGGATGTAGTTGTTGTAATCGATGCTGTCCTTGAGAAAACCAAAGGCTTGACCGAAGAAGGCGACACCGACGCTGTCAAAAGAGTACCTAACCACAAGTTAGACTGTGAAATCGGTGAAAGCTAATTTGTAACTTACATCTCGAGCCAAAGACCAAAGTCAAATACTTCGTTGCTATCGGCGAAGCTACCCAATCGTCCAAGAAAGAGTTCCAAGGTCGCATCCAGATTCGGTTCGTTTTTCAGTATGCTGGAAAGGGAATAGACACCTCCAACAATCCTTCGATACGCTGCGTGCGCTTTCTCATTGGTCTGCGTGAACAAGTCCGGCTGGCTGTTTAGTCCTGATGGTCGCCATGGATTGTACCAATCCGTCTTTTGTAGGGCCTTTTGAACCGGGTAGATGTGTGGAATGGCCGTGGTGTCGGTCGTCACTACCTCATCGGGTGCGATTCGAATGATGGGGCCATATTTCTGGTGAAGAACGCGCTCGATAATCTCAATGTCGCCTTTGTGATGGTGCCACATAAGCCATGTTCGTGATACCGATGCCCAGAATGGTCCTGGAACCTTGGCTAGTGGATGGAGGGTTCGAGTATAGATGGTCCAGACGAGATAGTATGAGACGAAAGATGTAGAAAGGTAGATCAAGAGGACAGATCGAAGATGTGCACCCAGAAAAACATCATGTAGAAGCGTCATGTTGCATATCCCGACGTTGAAGGACAGAAACACCACGCGAACGATGGTGGAGGGGACAGACGGAATTATCTTCCATCGTCGCTCATCGGTAACTGCAGCACTCTGCAGCCAACCCTTTCAGGCCTCCGATAGCGAGCTACGACTCGAACAGGCCGTCCCAGTATACTGAAAGGAGAGACGATGCCGAAATGCGGGTCTCTCTACTGTGGGCACGCTGCAAGTGCCGGGGCGTACCGCAGACCCTCGCGTTCTGGCCATGGTGTGCGCTTTGCACGAGTCGCAAAAGCAAACTTGTGGTGTTCTCAGCTTCGCCAGCTGAACAAAAGTCGCTTAGGAAATCCGCGAACTATTCGTTGTTCGATTTGATGTGTCCAGACTGTCCAGCATCGCTTTTTCTCATTGCCATGTGGCGGGAAGTCGGAAGGATGCTGCCGCGCTCGGAATGGCCGAATGGGGTTTGCTTCTGCAAGGGGGTCCACGGCAGCACCCTAATCGCAACACCCTGTTCATAGCAGGCTCAGCCGCCGTCCCGAGTCGCCTATCCCGCCTGCCGCCTCCAGAGTTTTGCATGACTTGTGACTTCTTCAACTTTGCTGTCGCCTATCGACGCAGCTTACTCGTGTGTCTGTTCACAGTCTCCTCACGCTGCCACGAAGCGAAGCGAAGCCAGCCCTCCACACACCTACCGTCCTCCAATGCCGCCTCAATTACGCCAGGGATGCATAATCGCGAGGCATGAGACTATAGTCTACAGACGCGCAAGCCCAAGAGCCGCTACTTAGCTCACAACAACGTCTAGACTATCAATTTGACGTTGTGTGGATATCTGGACTTCCGCGGGGAGCCAATAGGATCTGAAACCGCGATGATGGATGCACAACCTTGAACGCCTCTCCATCTTTTTTCCCAGGGCACCAGGAATACTATGGTCGTGAGGGCAACGCCGTGTAGTAGGCATTCGGCCCTATGTACACTGGCGTAGCCACGCATTCTAAGAATTGATCGGATTACTCACTACGCGGCTTACTACATCTTCACAAAACAACTTCCGCATCAATATGTACATCGGCGAGGACTCAATTCAGCTAGGTTTCTGATCCCATTAACCCTTTCGGTAGTCCCCGGGTGCCGAGCCGCCTGGGACGGCACGTCGGTCATGCAGCCTGCTCGGTAGAGTTCGCCTCGAATCCTACGCAGGTCAAGCAGAAACAAATTCTCCTGAATATCAACTGGGATATCGAATACCAGGATGCTGGTAAGGATGTACGGAAACGTGCTGATGATACCCAAGATTCGGGATGGCATTTGGCCATGGCTGCCTTTCTTCTGCTTTTTCACCACCGTCGTACACTATATGTATCAATGATCATTGAACGAGGATCGACAGCTCGTCATATTCGTGGCTCACCTTCTTGGG